CGGAGGGAAGAGACGGAAAAGCACGGCAGTTATCACGACACTTCGCGGCGCGGATGTGCCCGATATGCCCGCGACGCGTGTGTGTACGCACGACACTGTAAAATTACCGCGTCAAAAACAATTACGTTACAGCCCAACAGTTCGCGTAACCCGACTACGGGACAATGAAGATAACACCGAACCACCGCCGAGCCAGTCAGCCGTCGTCGTTGTGTAGCGAAACGCGCTCTTCGCGCTCTTCCACCAGATCCGACTTCCGCATGACAAGTCGCTGTCGAGGTCGGAGATTAACTCGCATAATCGTCCCTCCCCCTTCTCTATCTTTCTCCACAAAACCCCATACAGTGTTTTGCATCCATTTGACTGATTTCAAAAATTACTAGTCCGCACGCTCGCGCGGCTTCGAGGCAGTGACGATGATTTCGATTTAATCTCCATGAATTCATTGATAATGAAGCGTTACGATGAGACATTTGCTTCTTTATTACTTCTTTAAACATTAGCTTTCTCAGATTTTTCTTTCGCGACCAACTATCTCTATGTCACTCTGCTCTATGCATATCACACGAATGCGCACAGTGCATCTGAAACGTTAATGTTCCAATTGCAAATAAAATTACGAATAAATATAAAAAATTGAAAGTTTTTCGTGATATTTTTGCCAAAAACCGTATCTGGAGGTGTTATTTCGCAATTATTAATTTCTATTCGGCATTGACAAACATCAGCAGAGCGCTTGATATTATCAACGACGTTGGTTCACTCATGGGGTGGAATTGAGGGGGCGGGAGTCGTGCCGCGGTGGCGCGGCGTTGTCGAGTGGAAAGGGGTCCAATCAATCAGCCGCAAATCAGTATGCACGGCACGTTCGCCTAATGCCGCCACTCTTTCATCATATTCATTTGATCGCGACCCCCTCAGCCTGTGCACGCAATCGTTAATGGCGCTGTTTAAAGATCGCAACCGATCGATGTCGAGAGACGTCGCACGCGCTCGCGAAGGACATGGACGTGCAGGTCCGGATAAAAATTGTGATTTTCTTTTCAATCGTACGCCAATGCGTTATTTATTTGCCGGAAACAAGCGCACGATGAACAGAATTTATGTAATCTCGAAAGATTTCGAAGCTCAAGCAAGCATCAAATTATTTTATATTCTTATTAAATTAAATTAAATTATAATTAAATTATACACAACGCATAGATAAATGATGTGCATGCTATATATCTATTTTATTTATATATTAATATAACTTTAACAACTATAAAGTATAAGTATAATTTTTGAGTTGATTTCTTGAAAGCGTCAATTTTGAAAATATTATAAGTATTGATTATCACAATTATTACTCTTCGTCAAAATACTATAATAAAGCGTCAAGAGTGTACCAACGTTTCGAGTAATCGCAAAGCTGTGCATGTTCTCGTGAAAGAGTGCTGTAATTGATGAGTAGAAGTCGCAATTGTAACGTTTGTAACCGCAGCTACACATCGATAATGATACGTGGCTCGCTACCAGCGTTTTCGTGGCTTCGCGAAACGACCGGCTGCCATTCGTAAAGCGCTAAACAGATTACAGACGGCAGACGGTGCGTTGCCACGAGGCAAATACGTCTTTGGCTCTCCGACTGGCGTGAGATCGAGATGGCAGGAGGCAGAGAACCGGGCAAATACGTAATCCGGATTATCGTGGATCCGCTTACCTTACTGGACACTTGCGCAGCGGAACGATACGGCGCCGATACCGGTGCTGGCTCTTCAGCCCCTTTCTGCTCTACCTTCTCCGTCCCGGCCCCCTCGGAACCCCGCCGGCCGCACTTCTATGCCCTGTAACAGTTTTAAGAGGATTGCTCTGTAAGCCGTAATATTTTTAACGAGTCCCGAGTTTTCTCGGCGTATCGCGACAAAAACGCAATCTGCCGAAAAATAACCGACTCTATTCGTGGCAAGAAGCTAAAGACAAATTTTCTCGAAAATAAACATCTAATATATTATATTAAAAATAAAGTTTTTCTTTCACCGTTGCTTTATTTTAATTCTACATATATGTAGAACGGCCCGGCAGCCGTTTGGAACGTTGCAGCTTCCTGTATCAGATCGAGTTATCGAGGCGTAAGTCGCAGGAAGCAGATATAAAATGAGCAAAGATAGGCAGCGGAAAGAGAAAGGGGGGAACGTCCAATTTAAGCCGAGCCCACAGCGCAAAAATGCTTCCGAAGGCTCCGGCTTGGTTCATTAAATGAAACCCAATAGCAGTTGTTTGCGTTGCCAGACAGCGAATCCGTCGCAAATTGAATGCCATATTGTATAGGATCCGCCCATGTTTCCTATATAGCTTACGCACCGTAGTTTTACAGAATCGACGCAAATGGCGACTAGCATATACCGCGTACGCTGTTTATCGTTAATTTACAAGGCGTTTCGCCGCAAAAACGGCAGTATCGCAATGAAATAAAATTAAATCTCCAAATAAAATTGAATCTAGAAATGAAATCTAGTAAATCTTCTTTTCGCGTTGTTTTATCACCGATCCGATCACGGTGATGCCGTATCCTCCAGATGTAGAAAATATTTTTCAAAATGCGCACTCTTGTTCTTCATTTCTAATGACGCAACAACGCGCATCGAGAAATATTTTGCGACGCTACGGACGAATGGGTGAGGACTATCGCAACGATATAGAGCGTAGTTAAAACACAATTACCGCGACGCCCCTCTACGCCGACCCCACGACAGACCGCGGGCGTACCGCGCTGTCAAAATAGATAACGCTCGGAGTAAGTCACCCCGAAGTTAAAACCCATCGCTGCAACGGGCGGTGTAGGACCATTCACTTTGAGTTAACGTCGACAAAGGGTGTATAGGAGGATAGGAGAAAAGCAGGGAAAGCGGGAGGGAAAGGGAGATTGTTACGGCGGAACCGTGATACGCTCTGCGTACACGTTTTGTTGCTCGCGACGAAGTTAGGGGTTGATATTGCGCGTCGTTGGGGCTGCCGGTGACGTCACACACCTGATTAACATAAACGGACCAGCGTTTCGTTGACAGAAGCGTTATCTTTTACCGTCCGTAACCGCTTTTCTGCGAGTAAAGGGATATCAATTAAACGCGGTAATGCATCAGCGGACAGTTTGAAATTTTATTTCGCCGTTGACTTTATTGTTCCGAGTAAGAAACAATTGTTTGGTAGAAGAACCTTTGCAACATCGATCCGTAGCTTATGACGAGTTTTGGGCGAAGGGATTAGTCTCCGCACGCAGGAGGGATAACGCGCGCCCGTCAACCCTTTTATTACGGGACCGGATGACTGTAACTATCTAACGTGACAACATTAGCGGGACCTCGTTGGCTTCGAAATTATTATTATGATTTTATGAATGATACCGGAGAGAAGGAGATCCAGATTATGAAATACTGCTTGCATATCTATTAGAACAATATGTGTCCCGTTTTATTCACTTATATGAATCTTGCGTGCTTCTAATATTTTCCAAAGTTTTACGTAAAAACACAATGTCTCGATCTTGCAATTTTTCGTCCCGCAATTACGCCTTAAACTTTTTATAAAACTGTGCACTGTAAGATTAAAACTTAGTCTTGTAATTTTTCAAAGAGTATCTAACGTTAATAGCTTTTGACACACACATCTGTTTAAAGATATTTGTATTATTCTTTGATAATGCCGAAAGTTGCTGCTATAACTTACTTATACAATTTTAACGACACTTAAATATGACAGATAAACTTTACAGCTGTATTATATTATATTATATTATCAAAGATAGTACTCATTCTCGATTTTTCCTTCAAAAGATGTATCATTTTAACTTTCAGTTGAAAAATTATTTTGGAAGAAATACACGAATATTACATACAAAGAAATATATATCATAAGATTCTATTATAAATTGATTGCTCATCTAACAGTAATGCATATAATAATCAGTTTTCAGAAATGTAAGAAAAGAGGAAGAGAGCAAAAAGCGATCGCGCTAGTGAGAGAAGAGACGACCGTCGAGGAAACTTTATCTCATTCACACTTTTGCATTTGAAAGCGGTAAATTATGCACACGGGGAAGTGATACGGAATGCACTGCGTCGGAGTGAGCGAGAGGGACAGGGGGTGCGACGACGACCGAGCGTGCATGCCAACGTGCACGAGAAAGAGGCACGAACGTCGCCATTATAATAGATATGTTAGCATGCAACGCTGTCTTTTATACGCTGTCTTTTGCCAGTCTGCGGTCGTGGTGGCGATCTTTCAGGGCCGTGTGCCTTCTTTTACCGTGCCCAAATCTCGCTTTTTGTTAATATTATATCAGAGAAATTGACAATTGTAACCTTGACAAAGCGCGTAATATCTTTATATCTCGCCTTTTTCTCCTGTGATTAAAAAGGTATAAATGTAACGTAAGAATACGTAACGTACGAATATGTAATGTAATGTAATGTAAGAATCAAGTTGTGAAGGTTTTTGCTAAATAAAATTAAAAGATAAAGATCTTTAATCAGAGAATGCAAGATAATTAAGGTGTAAATCTTTGCTGAAAATCAAAACATGTCAAATGACGAGCTGTCGTGTTTCAGAGAATATCGGTATTGGTGTGATATCGTCTTTTTTACGTTCCCATCATAGATAAGTCGACCCGATCGTCGGCGGAGATTGCAACGTGATTGTTGTTACGAGGCATCAAGGCCTAGTAGGTTCATAAAAAAAGCGGCATTCCGATAAACCGAGGGTTGACACATCCCTGGAGCCTCGCGAACACAGCGTGGAGACAGCACGAGAGGGGCGGCAAAGCACGGTTCACCGGATAGGGGAGTGGTGAGAGGACAACGCAGTAGCAACTGTGGTGGCGGACGAGCGGAGGAGGCTGGCGGCGGGGCCCGGCGGGAGACAGCGGGGGAACGCATGGGTTCCCCGCGGGGACGAGGGGAGGGGGCGGCGGTGGCAGGGGTGTATCTACTTACCATACTCCCAGTATACCAAAGTCCTGCGGTCGACTCGCTACGGCAGATAGTAGTCGCTGGCAAAGCACGCTTCTCGACAGCAGCTAGTGAGAGCAGCGGCGGAGAGGGAGGGGAAATAAAAAGAAAAGCGGAAAAAGAGAGAGGGTGGAAAAGGAAGATAGACATGGAATGCGTGAAAGAGAAAGAGAGGCAGAAGGATAGGAATCAAAGCGTGAAGAGAATCTATTACACGTATTCTGTATTTACTTTTCATCTAAAAAAAAGAAGCGACGAATGAGATTCAACGAAGTAAAGATACCGCGAATCGAGTCCATCGAGAAATGGCTGGACGGTAATGAAGGAAAGTGAACGCATCGCGTGTGATAGTATATCGTTGCGTGTTTCGTGTGCTTCTGGTCACATGGGTCACGTGGTAGACGGTGTCCCTTCTCCTCTTAACCGCGGGGGTTCCTCCGATGGGTGGGGATGTCAACTGTGATTGGGAGGGAAAAGAAAAGGGGAAGTGGCAGAGGGTTTCTAGGATAGAAGAAGAGAAGATGAAAGAGGACGGATGAAGATGAAAAAGACGGAGGAAAAGTCGAAGAGGACATTATTTCGACATCGGTGATAATCATAGGGAGTGAGTATGATATAATACGTCGATAATCTCTCTATAATAATAATTTTGGTAAATAATACATTTTCCGACACTAAAACTTGTTACTGCTTCGTAAAAAAAATGCTAATTGTAGTTTTAAAAATTAAAAAAAAAAACTTTCAACTTTGTTTGAAAATTATTATTTTGTTCTAAAAATCTACGAATAATTTTTATTCTTATGACTAAAATGAATGAAAGAAAGAATAAAATAATTAAGAAACAACTTTTTAATACAGAATAGATTAATGATATCGTAGATCACAGTCCGTGACAGACAATACGCGGCGCATCCCCTTCTTTGCCACAAGATGTCGGCTTAAATCGTCGTTTGGCAATGCCTCCCGGGCTTTGCCAAGCCGCTTAAATCGTATACTTGGCACACGAGCTAATTGGTCGTATCTCGCGTTAGTCGGCGTGTTTTATCGCGCCATCCGTAACCGGTCGAAGAGCATTCGCCGACGTTCGCCCGTTCCAACGAGCAATTTAACGTAACGCGAAATGGGTAACGCGCTTGCCGCCGCACAATTTTTCACTCACGGCTCCCACGTGTCATACGATCACGTGTTAGTCAATGCGCGTCTTACAACTGCGAGACTCTTCTATTTTGTGTTCCTAAGTGGTCTATTCATAAATTGTTATAAAGCATATGCAAAAATATTTAAAACAGAAATATTTACCAAGTTAACATCTTATTTTCTTCAGAAATTCTCTCTTTTCTAGAAAATTTTAAAATACCCCATACAATTAAAAAAAAAATGTTGACAATTAAAAACGAGAGTTTAAAAATATAACTGTTTTGATCAAATTTTTATAGAAGCTTAGTATAAAGAATTTATCTGTACAGTGATAACTTTATGTTGGAGAACGTATATTTTTATTCTAAAATTAATTTTGTAAATAATTCAGTCTTTCTTGTTATTTGAATATTAAAATGTTGAAAATATATTGACTTCCTTTTTCGCCGTTGATTCTTTTTGTTGGCACTTATTGTCAGATATGGCGGACGCAAGTTTCTCGTAGAACGACACAGAATCGGACGTAGAAGTCTGTCGCCTCTATTTCTATCCTGTGAGCCGGACATAAAATTGAATTCGTACCGTGAATAACGACTAACAAACCGCAGTTATATCGTAAAAAGCAATGCAGCAGGATGTGAATTAATTCTGGCTCGCACCCCACAGGTTATCCCGGAGCCCTTTTTCCCTCTCCGTTTCTCCTTGCGCGTGCATGCAGCATCTCTCATTTCATCTCTCGCGGTACTTCTCTCCTCCAACTGGAACAGTCCCAAAATTCAATAAAGGCGAACGAGTACGAGGTCTTCCCCCTCGTCTCCACCGCTTCTCGTGTGGGGTGGTGGTGGCTATGGGGTTAGGAGTGCCGGAGTCATTGCGAGGACCCGGAGGGAGAGATGGAACATCGCTCGGTGCATATATTAGCGGGGGCAGCGTGCGGAGATATTGTCTGAACAAAGGGATCGGATCGTACCTATCGAAAAGGCGATTAAGCGAGGATAAAGTTAACCTCGCCTTAGGCGCTAAAAACACTCTCGGAAAGGATTTCCGTCTTATTTTCTGATTCTTGGCAATATTATATGATATCGTAATTTCCTGATGCATCGATAAAATCAAATCATTAAATTACGTAAAAAATTATGACAATAATTTATGAAATTGAATTATAACAATTAGCAGTTATAAAATTTTTATATGAAAAATGCTCTTATCGATGATGCAAAGTAAATTTTTTTTGTAAATTATTTAATTTTTTAAGCATGCTGTCGAAATTTTGAAAATATTCAAATAAAACCAGTATACAAGCTATGTTTAAAGACAAAAAGATTAACGAGCTATTTGCAACGCGATATGCGATCTCACAAACTTGGTGCCGTGTCCAAGACAATAAAGGTGGAAAAACGGGCCGCGCGGAATAGAGAGAAATAGAACGATAGTGAGGACAGCGAGGCTGACAGGACACAATATTGCTATAACTTCAATTACGACGACACGACGGATTGCCATGGGGTGGATTTGACCGCCTGCAGCCCGAAGCCAGTCAGCCAGCCACCCCCGCCCGTTCCATCCATTTATATATCCGAATGACACAAACGTCGTGGTTGAATTGGCTGTCGGATCTGAAAGGGGCTGCCTTTAAACAAGTGCTTCTTAATAAACCATTGACGCGCGAAACCACCCTCGAAAATTCGCCCCTCAACGCCGCGTTGCCACCCTTCCTCAACGTCTAACGTCACGAAACTCCAAGCCGTCGAAGGACTTTTAGCTTTCGTTACTTCGTTAAATTCAGAAAGACGTAACGCATTTTGCACAACCCCGTAATAAGCGTAACGAAACGTTCTGACGTTTTTATTTCGAAAATTTGGGTGCGTCAAGTTTGCAAGTTTGTGAACGATATGATTGATGTGAAGCAAATATCACATTTCCAAAGTTTTGTTCGAAAAAACTTTTATAAAGTTTAATATTAATATCTATGCAATTAATAAAAATCGTAAAAAGCGATATCACATTTATTACAATTATAATGTAATTTTCGAAAATTGTAAAACATAAAATTTTATTATTTTTCCACCTCTGAAAATATTAAAATAGAAATTATGGGAATATAAAAATTATCGCAAATCAACCATCTATTTAGTTCAGTAACTAAGATTAGCATGAAATTTTTTTGCCGTAGAATTATAAAGAATCACGAAATGTTCGTACACTGCTAAATCTTTGCGGCAATGTATAGAAAATCCGTCAAACAGTTCTCTCCGAGACGTGGTCGACGTCCGCGAAGTTAGTGTAGCGGTGACTTATCGACCGCCCGTTACAGGGAGAGCGAACTCTGGAAAAATTGTGCAGAGCCTTTTGCCCCGCGGGCTAAGGGTATTTCACTAGGGGTGGGCACGCACCCTTCTTCGCTCACGTCCCACTTGAAATTTCGCTTGGCTAGCGCTTTTTTTTAACATTTATTTGACAGCTGTCGTCCGCAATGCGTGCGCGTTTACCTATCGCGCGAGGTTGTCTTCGTGTCGAAATCGTTCGAGGACAGAAACGACGAGCCTAAACGGCATCCTTGGAATTTATAAGACGAATGCTGACATGATCGACCAATGTTTCTCTATACAGCAACGATTTATCAACATTCAAGTAATTGCAAATCTTTTAAAATTGGCTTTCACATGTATTAAAATTTTCAAAGATTAATTTGGAGAATTTTGAACATTAATTTTTTTCCTCTAGCAAATACTGCAACGCAGTTTACAATGCGTTAGAGTCTAATCAAAGTATAATAAGGAAAAGTATTACACGATTGAAGTGCATGATCAGCGTGCTTGATGATCGTAATAGCTTTTTGCGAGCTTTTACGAGCTACAATTCATCTATCAATTATTATCCAACAGTTGAAACATCAACAGTGTATTTATAGCATGCTAATTACATTTCAGCGTATATCACTTTATAATGAAATAAAAACATATGGTAATGATTTCTATTTACGATAGTTACGTGATGTGTAATTGATTTTTTTTATAAATAAAATAATAATAGAACACAGATGATATTTCTTGGCAATCAAAAAGAGCGGATAATTTCTTTAAAAAAAAAATTAGATTCCCGAGATATTAATGACAAATTTCGCCTCCTTCTTAAATTAGATCGTATTTGTTATGCATTAATTTACTTACATCCTCGCGAGCACAATTCCTAATTGCGGAACCGCGTTTTGTAAAAAATCAGCGAGGAAATGCCTAATAATCATGTAATGAGTCGCCGCGAGAGAGTCTGTCACGCGACGCAAACGAATTAACGATATCGTTGAGCTAGGTTAATTACCTCATGACCCGTGCGTCAGAATGCATTGTCGCAGCACTTCACTTTCTCTGTAGTTATATTCGTGCATAAAGTTTCCCAAGTGTCAACACACGCGAAAATTGAATACCATACGTGGCACAATATTTCAACGTAGTCGCACTTAAGTCTCATTTCATCTGACGTAATTCTATTATTCTCGATAGACAATGATATCAATCGAGACATGAATCTTGCTGTTGTAAAACTAAAAAGAAAACAACTAAAATAAAATAATTTTATTTCACCACAATTCTTTTCACAATTTTGTAAAAGAATTCATAATTTTTAAGTGTACAAAAACTTTAATTTTTGTTAAACTTTATTATTATCTCGCTTTAAACCATCAAATTATTTTACGCCAAAGACAAATCGCGGCCCTTGTCGCTAGGGCTTCTTAAATCGATATCCGTCGCCGCGCGTGAAGGAACTTCCTTTCTCTATCGAGCATGTCCGGGAGAATGATAAAACGTTTAACGGCAGATAATCGTAGGAACCTCGATAAATCTAACGAGGTCTCGTTGGGTCGTTCCACGCCGACCCTTTCTCCGATCACCGATTTAAGCTCGTTTCGGATACAACCCCCAAAGCGAAATCCCGATAACGAAGCGGGAACTCGCGCGTTTTTTCTAGGCCACAGTACAGCGAAATAAAAAGAGCGGGAACGAACGATCACCGCGTCCCGTGGTATCGCCGAGAATGCGGCGTTCGGGCCTGAGAACTTGATCAATTAGTCGGCAATAATTAGTCGTAACCGAGATAGTTGTTGCGGGATCGGAGTGATAGGTAATAAATAATAACGGATTGTTGACCGGTAACTTGTCTCTCCCTGACGCAAGCCTTTAATATCACGTTTACACGCCGCCCGCTGCGTTTCCGCCAAAGAATGTGGTCTACTGCGCAATGCTGGCAATTGCCCGTTTTCCCAAATGTTTCCACAAGCGTTATTGATCGTTCAAGTAATCGATCTCGCGCTGATTAGAGCGAGCGTGTTTTGTGAAATACTACAATTTAGAAATTCGTTGAATTCATTTGCTCACGACAATTATTTTTTTTTGGACCAAACAAATTATACAAAATTAAAACGTTTTTTCGACTTTATCAATAAATAATTAACATAAAAAGTATACCAGA